TAATATATTTAAATTTTATAAGTATATTTTATGTTAGAAATTATGTTTTTGGCTATAAATAGAAAATTTAATTTTAAAAATAAGTACGTATTTTACTTAGAAAAATTGGATTTTTTTTTACTCTTTTCATTTGTTTTTTTTGTTGCTCCTAAAATTTATTTAAGTTTTCACTGATCTTATAAGCTATAAACATATAAAGATTAACCTTAATTAGAAATTTCAGTATATAGATATGTACATATGTATGTACATAATAATAATAATAATTATAAAGGATTTCTATTCCAAAATTTTTTGTCAAATTATTTATGTAAATACAATCTAAAACCAAATAATTAGATTTATGATTAATTAACTATAAAATTTTTTTTTTTGATTTTAATCATTTTGGTTTTAGATATTTTTTAATAGTCGGGTTAAAAATAGTGATAAAAAACTCGCAAAAAAAGGAATTTCTAATGAAATATTTATTAAAAAAATTCTGATTCAAATTAAATATTTTGCATACTTTTGGGGGCACATTAAATTGATAATTTAAAAAAAAAACAAATAAATGTACTATTTATAGTATAATAGTTGAACTGGATTGGTATATTTAAATTTTATTTCCGATAAACTTTTTTACGATCAAGTTGATTTTTATTTACGATAAAATATTTACGATAAATATTTTTTATTATCTAAAGTAGGTAACTCAGTTATAATTTTGAGAAAAAAAAAAATCTTATTAAAAATTCACCTAATGCTAGTCTTGCATATTAGAGAGTTCAGAAAAATCGTTTGAATCAAAAGTTATAGGAAATGGTAATGAAAAAAGTTTTATAATGTAATAATTAAATTTTCCAATGCATTTAGGTAAAATTCGTAAAAATATACAAGATGTAAATTAATTAATTTTACTAGTTTACTTATATATTAATTAAGAGAATTCTAATTATTTGTTAAGGCACCAAAAATAATATAATAAATTTGTGGTATATAGTGTTATAATAAAACTTTTAAGTTTTAGGTATATGAAATTTACAAGTACATGAAATGAAAATACAAAAATTCAATAGAGTTAAGAAAAATTTTGATATTGATATTGAAATAATTACGAATTTTTTTCATGAATATTAAAAGAGAAATGTTATTTTCTTAGTTATTTAATTTTTTTCATTTTACTTTCTCTTATATTATTATCAGTATATGTATATGTATACAGGGAGTTGAATAGAGATTTTTGCGGTTTTTAACCTTTTCTAATAATGTATATGAAAAGTCTTTATTATATATTTGTTTTTCTTATGAAGTCCCTTTTAATTTATATTATTATTATTTACTTTATATATTAAATTCGTTATAAAAAGAAATAAAATCGAATATAAAGTTATTTTATTTCATTTTGTTTTTTATATATTTTTAATATAACTTTTGATTTCCAATATGAATATAGCTATTTTTTATTTCTACCTTATATATAACTATAATAATTTTCTTATAATTCTTTTATATTTTTATATATGCATATATATATATATATATATATGTATATATATTAAAATAAGTTAAATATAATAAAAGAACAAGAATACTAAACTACAATAATCATATTATTATGTATTTATGAACCCCTTAAAATATATATATATATATATATATATGTATATAGAAGAAAATCAATAAAACTTTTCTTTTGATTTCCAATATTCTCCATTAAATACATACATAATTTTTGCAATATATAGGTATAAATATATGTGTATATTATTTTGCTTATAATCTAGAGATATTTTATATATAATACAATATATATATATATATATATATATATATACTTATATACCATCGGTATATATGCATTTAAACATAAATATAGGAAAGTAACTAAAATTTTCAATTCATAATAAAATACCATATGAAATCGTATATATAGTCTTAAGAAAATAAGAAAAAAGGCACCATAATAATATAGAAAATAATGATAAAAATAATAATCTAAAACAAAACATAGAAAGAAAACAAAAAGTAAAAATAATAATCTAAAACTTTTGATTAAAACTTTTCCAATAATATTATATTTTTTGTTTTTTTTTTTTGAGAGAAAGAGAACCAAAAAAGAAGAACTAACATAAGTGGAAACCAATATATATATATTCATGTGTATATACATAATATATATAAGGACACATGATATAATTTTCATTATTAAGTAGTTTACTGTTCAAAAAAACAACAAAAAATCTTAACTTACTTCCGAATAAACATAATCAGCAACTTTTGAACTAAAAAACAAAAAAAAAAAAATCTGAAAAGACGATTCTCAACTAAACCATGTGTATAATATGTATAGAAAAAATTCTACATGTTCATAAGTATGAATATACATACAAAAAAATATCAAATACGCATTTGAGTAAAATCTCCCTAAAATGAACCCTAAAATTTCGATTTAACACAAATGTACGAATTTTATTCATAAAAACAGAAATCGTGAAATTAACAAAAACATTGAAAATACATAAGAAATAAATTCTCTTCATCCCATAAAAAATTACTTACTATAAATGATTGTGTTTGTTATACAGAGAATCTACTGTTTATAAATAATTATGTATTTGACAATATTGTTATTTTACTTTGAACTCAAATTAAATGTTTTAATCATTCTCTCTTCTCTTTTCATTATTTTTCAATTCTTCATATTTTTATTCTTCGCATACTCTTTGGCAATGTTAATTTATATGTAACTACTGAATATTGCAGTTCAGTATAATGTACATAAATTCATATATGTATATATATATATTTAAAAAAAAATTATTATTTTTTTTAATAAATAAAGATATGCAATTTATATCATTGTATTATTATAATATATATTTTGAATTTATGTGTGTGTTTTTAAGTATGTATTTAACCAGCCTCCCTCATAACATACTACATATATGTATATCATTAATAAGTCATTGATGAAGTTCAACCCATAAAACTAACTCCTTATTTTTCAAATTTCAAAATACATGTATATGTTATATATGTATATGCAACATTTATGTATGTAAACTCATGTAGTATAAAGTCCAGTAAATTCTTTATTTTTTCTGGTTGTATATAAACGCAAATATGTGTATGTTCTGTGTATAAATTGTTTATAGTTTTTGCAAAAATAATATAAAGAACATACTTTAAAAGGTCTTGTTTTTTTTTTAGAAAATCAAATGTTAAAAGTTAAGAGCAAGAGAACATTCTATTTTATATACCCACTTCAATTTATACAATATATATACACAGAAATCACCATTACCGCCCCTTATATCAAATGCCTTAACCATAATTTGCGAATATGCGGTTTGTTTTTCCCTCTTTTTTTTTTTTTTTAAATTTTTTGTAGTTATTTTTTTTTTTTCCTATGTGTGCTATTTTGTTATTTCCTATTATTGTTTTTCTATGAAAACTTTCATCAAAGTAAAAAGAGAGTATAACAAGAAAAAAAAAAATAAAAAATAAAAATTACAAAAAAAAACTTCTCTTTAGTTTCTTTGTTTTTATTTCCTTTCTATTGCTCGCATTTATTTTTTTCTCAACGCTTTGTGATTGTACTTTTTCTATTTTTTTTCCCCTGTTTTGATTTTTTCATACATCTTTGTTTTTCTTCTATTAATACTTCTTCCTTTTCATTCATTTTTATACATGGTATAATCACAATTTCTCTTTTCTCTTTTCCTTGACTTACTTCTTATTTTCATTATTTTTTACTTATTATTTTTGTTTCGTGATTGTTTTAATTTTTTTGTACTATTTTTATTTTGTAACAGTTTTTCATGACATTTAATGTCAGTTATTTTGCTTTGTATTTTATCATTTATTTTGTTTGAAATATGATCTGAAAGAGGCTACCAGATTTCCGAAAAATTCCAAAATATTTTTTTTTTCAATTCTGCATACAATATTGTAGTTATTGAGTTGAACTAAAACTGGCTAGTTAAGATTGTCACCATTAATTTCAAAACAATATTAACTCATTACAACAGAGGGGTTTCGAAAGCAATTTGTTCATTACAAATTTTATTACATATTTAAATTTTATTATTTTTGTCTACTTAACAAATTCAGTTTGGGCCTCAATATTATTATGAAAATATTATGGCAAATCAACTAAAGCCGAAAATATTTTGACTGAAAATTTTATTTTTTGTATTTTAGGATGAATTTAGAATTGCCTTGTAAAACAAAACTAGCACAACGGTCTATTTCTAGAAATTAGGAAAATTTTATTAAAATCCAAAACATATGACAAGATTTTCATAAACGTTTGGCAATTCTAATTAAATTAACGCGTTTTTTTTTCATGAAAATATTTATGTATTTTTATATCCTGTTCTATTCATTAAGTATTTTCTTTACAATATATACATTATAATATTGTAAAAGTTCGGAAGATGAATAAATAAAAAAAAAAAAAACAGCCATGTAGACTATAAAGTAAAGAAGAAAATTATGAAATTTATTTACTAAACAGATCTCTACTATTATATTGCATATCCTTTTCCAATAGAAATTTCAAATAGAACAAAAAAAAAAACCATAATTACGTGCATATGTTTGTATGTATAAACGTTTGAATGTTGTAAAACATACACTCTTATATCCATTTATATTCATGGGTTTTATATTATGCGAATTAAGATACGATAAAATAATTTTATTATAAAAATATGTGTATATACATTTATATAAATATATTTTTAAAAGTATTATACGAATATTATATGAAAAATGGAAGAAAAAAAAACCAACTTTCATAAACAACTTCATTGCGGCAATCACAAGATTTATTAAACTACTAAAAAAAAAAAACAATAATAAGAAGAATAAAATCTCAAGTATATTATAATATAAAAGTGCAAGAAGAAATTTAAGAAAACAAAAACAAAAAATTAATAATTGAAGTGTGATTTACAAGAATCAAGGAAAAAAAAAAAGAGAAAAAGAATATGGAAAGAAATAGAAAAATAAAAATGACGGTATTTTGTGTTTTTATGACACCAGAAAGTTCGTTTTATTAGATATGTTATTAAAAAAGGAAAAATTTTTCGTTCTCCTTATACTTGACTGTCTAAAAAGTTTATGAGTCTCATTTCACCCATTTCTACTACCTCATATAAGAACTGTTATACGTATACTCTGTACATACATGCTTATTTTCATTTTTCTAGCGGATTACATTATATTATATATATATATAACTATACAAATATAAATATTTTAATTACAACATACTAAATTATTAAATTCAATACTATGAATTGATAAAGTTAAAACAAAATATTTAATTTAAATCTAAGTAATTCATATTATTCTTATATGATATGAGAAACATAGAAATTAAACATAAATCAAAAATTCATCTTTGTTATTCTTTTATTTGAAAATTACTGTTATACTAAGCCTATCAATTTAACATTCTTAATTCATTATGTCTCTTCAAATATGAGCTCCTTATAATTCAAATTTACCACAAGAATAAGAATTAAATTATATTTAATAACAATTTAATTAATTATTAGATTAAATTATCTTTAACCCTTTCAACCGGGATTTCGAGTAGTGTAGTAATTTGTACATATTCCACATGCTAGATCCATTATCTTTATATAAAACAAATAGTCTATGATGGAAAAATTCATGTTAAAATTTAGTGTGCTGAATCATGTAAAAACAATATGGTACAACAAAAAAATCAAATACAATGCCATTTTTTACTTTTGGACGTTTTTGGATTTTACTCGTATTTAATTATATTTTACAAGTAGAAGTTATTTAAAGTAGAATATTTCAATAAATTGCAAATATGTAAAATATTAAAAATTGCATATACGCAGGCGTACAAAAAATTATATTAGAAAATATTGGTGTAAAAATGCATTTTGCAACTGTGGTACAGGAAAAATTATTTTCTTTTTAAAATTTAAATTAATTTTTTAAAGATTTCTGAAAATATTTTTAATATTTTCAATAAAAAAAAATTGTAAGCAATCAATTTTAAATGAAAACCCAATCCTATACTTAAATTTAAGCAATATAATTCAACAATTACTCTAAGTCTTTACATTTAATATTGATTTGCATATTATGTTTTAAATAAAATAAAAACTTTCTTTAAAATTTAAAAAAGAAAGCTTAAAATGATAAGTGCTTTAAAACTAATATTGATGATATCCGCCTGAATCTGTTAAACTGTCTTAGAATTTTTTTTGTTTTGCTGTTTTATTACAAAATTTAACAACGAAAACTATAAATATCAAAATCAGAAAATCAAAATAAAAAATTGAATAATCAATTTTATTTAGTTTTCATTTTTTTTCCAATTCTTTTTTGCAAAAATCTAAATTTCGCCCATCTTCTTCTTTTTCTTTACTTTTTGTTTGTATACATAATATGCATAAAGCAAAATATGCTCATAACTTTTGATATCTCATCCAGGAATTGAATTCAAAAGCAAGAAATAAAATAAGAATAAAAATGAACAAAAAAAAAAAAGACAAAATATAGTTTTCATTTTTCTTCAAGGATATTTTTCTTACATAGAAAAACCTACATAATATGTGTACGTATGTTAAATATGTATGTCTATTGTAATAATGAAAAAAAAAACTATTGAAAAGCCATATATTGTGAGAAAACTCACAAAAAAAAAAATGATAAAGAAAAGCTGAAAATAAAACTAAAAGAAAAATTAAAGGAGGAAAGGAAAAAAAAACAAAGGCTAAAATTGAAAAGAATTTCCCAATAAATTATCATATTTGTCGCAGACAGCATTTCAACTACTTTTTCTGAAAAACAACAAAAACAAAAAAAGAACAAGGTCACTTTTATGAGTAAGAGTCTTTTGTTTTTTTTTTTTTTTGCTGCAAAAATTGAAGCGAAAGAATGGAATAGCGTATAGATTAATATAGAATGAGATAAAAAAAAAATATAAGAATGGGAAAGAAAACAAAATTGAGAGCAGCCAACTTATTAAAAATATTGAAAATAAAAAAAAAATATAAGGATAATATTATGTGGAAATGTGTATGAAGTGGAATGTGAATAAGGATTCACAAAAAAAGTTAGGAAATGAAAACGCAAAAAAAAAACAAAAATAATAAAAATGCAGAAAAAAAAACAACAAATTTAAAATATAAACGAAAATGAAATCTTTTCTCAATCACTAAAAATCATTATCATCATCATCAATATCATTATCATTACTATTATCATCCATATTTACATTACATTTTGTCAACATGGGGCGAAAAAACGAAAAATCTTATACGTCTTATAGCCACAAATAATGACAACTACATACGCTTTAATTCAATGGCACAAATTTTTCAAATCAAAAACCGAAAAAAAAGCAAAAACACAAAATAATATAGCCAACCAAATGAAAAGGGTTTTTTTTTTTTCTCTCTCTTGCTTTCATCATTATTATATTTAAGGATATTGATTATACAATGATAATGTTTCTGATGCCTAAAATGAAATTCTACAGTATAGACGCTTTTAAGGAATTCTGCTATATAAGAAAAGAAATAGAAATTGAAAAATAAACGAGAAATGAAAATAAAATAAAATTTCGTATATAGTTAGGAAATCAGGTTCTTTTTGCTGATTCTACAATTTTAATAGAAAAACACAAAGAAAAAAAAAACAGTGCGAGAAAAAACTATATCGTTTATACTCGTATTCTATACTTTATTTCAAATACATCTATGCATATGTGTACATAAAAAATATTTGTATGTATTTATACAGTCGAACTTCAATAAATTGAATCAATTATAATGTTCTAAATTCAATTTGAAGTTCAGAAATTTTAAACGTACAAATAAAAAATTTAGGAGAGTTTTAACAAAATAATTCGAATTTATCTATATGGAATTAATATACCTGAAATTTGAAATATACTTGATTATTCATTTCTTGTAGTTGTTGAGAAGATTGAATATTTTAGAAACAATTTTTTTTTTTTGTACGATGAATTTTATTATAATTACTGTAAGATTACTTCCTGTTCTAAACAGTATTTACTTGGGATTGATTCCTATCGCCACCATTTTGGTGAATATCGAGGGGGACGATATCCTTGTGCTATGTGGTAAGTTGTTTTCTGATATCGGCACTTCTAATTCGATTATAAATGCGAATATCGTAATACTCGTATAACATGCAGTAAAACTAGGGTATATTTACGAAAGAATAAAATCTATAAATTTTGTCAATTTGAAATGTTTGTGAAAATTAATCTCAATTCCAATTTGAAAGAGCAATGAAAATTTTGAAATTCAAATATAACACAAAAAAAAAAAAATGAAATTGCTCAATTTCTCTTTGTAATTTGAAATATTCTTTAAATAGAATGGATTTTAATTCGCTTAACATCCATAAAAATTGCCATCCTTAAATCTACATATCTGTAATTTACGTACTTATTTCGTCAATATTATAAGAGGGATCCGAATTAAATAATTTCCACTGTATATATACACATAAATATTTTAAAATATATATTTACATAATAATGTCCTGTATATTTTATTATGCGTATATAATATTTTGATTTGTAAATGCATGTTAACTTTTATACACTTACTATAATAATAATAATATAATGGAAGGTTTCTTTACTTCAGAAGGAATATTCCTTCCTCTTTTTTTTTATTTTTTTTTTGAACAAATTATACTTAAACAATTTAAAAACTTTTTATTTGATTTTGACCTACATTTATATATATATATCACACATACACACACATTACGTACTTATTAGATGAACGTAAATATATAAAATTTAAATATAATTACATTATTACAAACAATAATTTTACATACTCTTCATAAAAGGGAAGTTAATATTAATATATATATGCTGTGTGTATAACAACATTTAAACTCAATTCTCTAAAATATATATTTTTTTTTCCCTTACGAAACACGTATTTCTTATATATATCCCTTATATGTATATATACTTGAAAATTATATCATATATATCGTATAATATACAGTATATGTATCCTTAAATACTAACATAATGTACAAACATATTTCAATTTGATGATAGTTTTGTGCTCAATCATAACTATATAGTATATATATGTATATATATATATATATATATATATATATGAAAGAGTTATAATATTGAAAAGGATGTACATATTATGTATATCTAGTTGTACACTGTCTATTCATTCCCATAGATTTAATATTACATTATATAATGTTATATAATCAATTTAATATATATGAAAGTTAGTAAATATAGTAAATGAAATATTAATAGTATATATAAAGAGGGTTCAGAATATAGTGTAGAGTAATAGTGATAAAAGAAGTCGATATATATATGTATATATGTATATGTATATATGGAGTATAAATATAAAAATTTAGTATATATAATAAAGTGTAGTTGGTATATTGATTTCAATTTACGTCAATTGAAAATTTTGAAGTTTTTCAAAATGGTTTTTGAGGTCCATTTAACTTAAGAGAGAAAATTTAATTTTCATTTTCTTTATTCATTTGGGTTATTTTTTTTTTTTTTGTTTTTTCAGTTTTCTTGATTTTTGGTTTTTTATTATATTTTGCTGGGTTTTTCATTTTTATTCGTTTGTTTTTGTTTTTCTTCTTTTTTTTTTTTGATCATATTGAGTAAGAACAATAGAGGAGCTGTAGAAAATACATTTAATTTCATTTATAATATTAAGAGAGTCTATTTTATCATTTTACTAATATATTTAAATACGTAAAAGGATTTTTGATTTTGATTATTTTTCATTTTGTTTTTTCTTTCCTTTCTATTCCATAAGGTTTGGATTGTTTTATGCTGTTTCTTGTGTTATTCTTATGATTTTGGTTGCTGATTATTATTTTTTTTTTGCTTTTTTAAGAAGGAGGCATTTAATTTATGATGGTAATTCTGTTTAATTTAAAGAAGACTTTTATTGGTATATTAAATAAAAAAGAGTGTTTTTTTTTTGTGTTGTGTTCCTTTGCGAATTTTTTGCGAAAATTTCAAATTCAATTTTGAAGGAGGATTATTTTATTAAAAAGCATTTGTTTTCTTTTTTTTTATATTCTTTTTTCTTTTTTTTGTGTTTTACTACAAATATATAAAAAGGTTTATTAAGAGGATATTAATTGATAGAAAATTATAATAGTATATAACTGTTATATTGTATATAGTTATTTTATACTGTTATATAAAATTTTAAATAAATTGAAAAAGAGGCATAAAATAAAGAATATAAATAGAAATTAGAGAAAATTGAATATAGTATTCAAAATAAATTTTTCGAAACTGTGTTCTTTTTGTTATATTATTATGTATATAAATTGTATACATTTTTAATAGTCTGAAATTTGGCGTCATTTAGATAATAATAATAATAATTGGATTCATTGTTATATTGTTGAATAATATTGGTGAACATAAATTCTTCTTAATTTTCATTGATTTGTATATCTTGTATGTATGCGTATAACAGTATAATGAATTTTTATTGATATTTATTATACAATAATATTTTAAATGATTTTCTTTTTTAATTTGAATTTATTAAATTCGATTTTTATGTTTTAATTATATCTAATTTTATATATATATATATTGCTCTCATTTAAATCAAGTATGTATATTATTTGAATTTGCAAAAAATTTTTGTCATAAATCATCCTTATATAATATATAAGAATTTGATACATATGTGAATATTCCTTGTAATTTACTTGTTTTATACCAAATATAAGCAATTTTTATGAATATAAAATTGAAAATTTATGAATTTATATAAAATAAATTTTTAAGAAAATAGTTTATTGACTTCATTTTTCCAAAATTTAAAGTCAACTATTATACGTGTATTGTAGTTGAAATTAGAAATAAAAAGAACTTCTAAAATTACATCATGTTCAATTATGTGTCATAATATGTTAAATACATTTAAGATAAATTGTAAATTTTCCTGTATTTAGGTATGTACTCGTATATATATAATAATTTTCACATATTCAGTAATTTTTCAAATTAAAGAACACTTATTTATTTAAAGTTGTAAGAGAAGGATGGAAGGGAAGAATTGAATGTGTGTTTACATAATATGTATAAGAATATATTTCAGAAAAATTATTAAATTGAATTAGAAATATAAATAAATTAATAAAGTACTGATAATAATGTACAATAGCCTATTAATTTCTGGAAAAAAAAATTAATTCTTGGACTAACATTTTCAAATTACAATGAAATTGTACTACTGCCTACTGTTCTGCCACATAATTTATAATTTATAAAAATTTTTGTTTAACTAGAATCAACCAGCATTATTAAAGTTATCACCGTCTTTAGTTACATATTCAAGTGGTATCAAATTACATCTTCAGTACGATACTAATTTCTGTTCACATGAAAATTGCTGACACAGCGTCTGCAATCGAACATGTTTAAACATGAAGAAATTACGAAATTATCGTTCCCATCAAAAATGCTGACGAAACGTCTATAATTTTGCACGAGGCCGGAAATGAACTTAATTTTAATTACTATAAATACTGTTAGATTTTAAGATATGATTTAGTCTAAAATTGGTGTTAATAAGAATAGAATATGATAATTAAACTATCAATTCGAATTTAAGTAATTGTAAAATTTAATTTTTAATAGTTGTGACATTGTGTGAAATAAAATTATTTTTTTATAATCGAATCAAGATAGTTTAATAACTGGCGCCCAACGTGACTTGAATCGTGAAATCGCAAAACTCTTCGTTAAATTTTAAAAGAAAAGAAGAAAAATAAGCATATCGCGATAAAAGTGTACCCAACTATAGTGCGCGTATTGTGGAAATCCGAAGTGAAATAAAAAGAAAAAGGAACTGAAGCAAACCGTACTTACAAAAAAGTGTTGAAGATTGTGCCGCAGTAGGACGTTTACGAGAATAAAAGTTCACGTCTAAAAAGGACAAACACAACTCAACCGCTATTCGCATTACTCACCAAGACTCAAACAGATGAATTACGTTTTTTTCCTGTAAGTAGTTTTTCATTACACTTAATCTTAAAAACTTAACTGAGGGAAACTAACTGCATCTCACTGAATAAGCTTTAAAAATATAGAAGCTTCGTTAATTTTAAAAAAATTAAGATTTAAAAAAATTGAAGTGATAAATGAAAATTAAATTGAAAATTTGAAAAATTAATCAATTAACCGATAATAAATTGAAAAATTAAAATTTAACCAATAAATATTTAATACCAAAAATAAAACAAAAGTAATTAAAAATTTAAATGAAACCAGTAAAAAATTAATAAGATTAACCAATTAAATTTTATATTACCAAGAAATATTTAATTAAAAAATAAAACAAAAGTAATCAGAAATTTAAATAAAACCAGTGAAAAATTAATAAGATTAACCAACTAAAAACTTAAATTTAACAAAAAATTTGAAATTAATCGACAAAATTTGAAAGAAAAATATAATTTAAAAGTTTAAAACCGCGTAATAGAATAATTTAATTAGTGAAATTACCTTAATAAAAAGTTAAAAATGGAACAAATAATGGAAGAGCTCAAAAAATTAAATGGAGCCATCAATGCTCAAATTGAACAAAGCAAACGGTTTGAAATTCGCCTAGCAAAACTAGAGGCTCAGTTCAATACACCACAACCGCAGGTAACAAATTTGGCAGCACCGAAAAGTGAAGACGACCTGAAACAAATATCGAGACTTCCGGACTGTGTCAAAGATTTACAAACCTTTGATGGCGATGCAGTGCAGTATGTATCATGGGTGCACAGCGTAGAATCAATTCTACGAGATTACGAAGTTGTCAGAAACAAACCCATATACAGAGCAATATTACAAGCTATTAGAGGAAAAATTAGAGGTAGAGCAGATGCAGCTCTAATATCGTACAACCTGTTCGACGAAGAATGGGCCGCAATCAAGCAGTGTTTGTCCCTGCATTATGCCGACAAACGGGACATACGCACATTGGAGCACCAAATGAGCACACTGACACAGGGAAGATCAACCATAGATGAATTCTACGCCAGAGTCAACCATCAATTCTCCCTCATAATCAATAAGATCAAGACCGAGAATTATACAAAAGAAACTATAGACGTACTGATAGAATCACAAAGAAACAGAGCACTGGACGTATTTATCCGAGGGCTCAATGGGGAATTGTCCAGGTACTTGATGCTTCAGAAACCGTCAACTCTGCCAGAAGCATATTCAACGTGTCTAGAGCTCCAGAACTATAGTTGCCGAAACTTCGCTATACACAACAGGAATGATAACAACAGAATCACTGTACCATTCAACAAAATGTCCATGAAACGACAACAACCAAGTGCTGGGAACCCAAGGTCGTATCAACCAGAACAGCCATTAACAGTGGAACAACGGAACTTGGCTTACAACATTCAACATCAGAGAGAATCGCAACCTCCACCTAGACCGCCAAAACCGTTAGAGAAGATGGACGTTGACCGATCCATACAAACACGTCAGGTTAATTATATGAACCGGCCAGACAACTACAGGGGAATATACAAGAGGCCACCATCAGTAGGCAACATGCCTAGCAATAAGCACCAAAGGCTATTCAATATGGAAACACTTGAAGACGACGTAGATGACCACCCAGAAGAATGCAGCGAATATGACGAAGAACCAGCATATGCAGATGATGAGGTTCAAGAAGTAAATTTTATGACGGACGCCTTTCAAGCGTTCCTTACTTAGAATTCAAGACAAAAAACAACCAGCTCCTAAAATTTCTAGTCGACACAGGAGCTAATAAAAATTTTGTAAGAGAAGAGATCGCGACAAATGCCAAACCAACAACAAAACCATTCAAGATACGTTCAGCTGGAGGAGATATAACAATCACCAAGAAGATCGGAGGAAGATTTTTTCAGAGTCTGGGAAACAACACCTTCATTGAATTTTTTGTTTTGCCAGGATTGAAGACCTTTGATGGTATAATTGGAGACGACACGCTTAAGAAGCTCGAAGCCATTATAGACAGAAAGAACAACACCTTAAGGATCAAGCCAGATATAAAAATTCCGTTAAAGGCAAAGGCATCAGCTCAAGTCAACACCATCGAAATCGGGGCAGACCATTTACCGAAGGCAATCCAAGAAAAAATTATGGGAATAATAAGGAAATACGAGAAAATATTTGGCCCAATAAACGACAGGGAAATAATAGACACACAAGTGAAAGCAGAAATTAAAACTACTACTGATGATCCCATATACACCAAGTCATATCCATACCCAGCCAATATGAGGAAGGAAGTAGAGGAACAAATCAAAAAGCTGCTAGAGGATGGAATTATCCGCCCTTCGAAAAGCCCTTACAACTCACCGATCTGGGTAGTAGCCAAGAAACCCGACTCATCAGGTGTGAAGAAGTATAGAATGGTTATCGACTTTAAACGACTTAACGCAGTAACGGTACCAGACACATATCCTATACCGGATATTACAAGCACACTAGCAAGCCTAGGCCAGGCCAAATTCTTTACAACATTAGATCTGACATCCGGATTCCACCAAATCATGATGCACAAAAAGGACATTCCCAAGACGGCTTTTTCAACAATGAATGGAAAGTACGAATTCCTAAGACTACCATTCGGGCTGAGGAATGCGCCTTCAATTTTCCAACGCATGATAGATGATGTTCTAAAGGATCAGATAGGCAAAAGCTGCTACGTATACATCGACGACGTTATCATATATGGAAAAACGGAGGAGGAACATTTAAGAAACATCACCATATGCGAAAGAAGTAAAATTCGAAAACTGGACGAAGGACACTGTATGTATCAACTGCTAAAGGGAATAAACGCCAGTTGCAGCCTTCAATACAATAAGGAAGAAATCATAGAAACCATAAGTGAAAATATCATCTTTCTCAATAATTTCAATGGGGAGCTAACAAGTGGCAACACGAGCAAACACTTAACTGGAAGCTTTATGATACAGCATACCAACGAAACCGTTCACATAAAAGGTCAGAAATTTACAAGCGAATCTGCCACCACGTCGCAAGTTTTACCACCTGTTCTTCAAGAAAATTTAAAAGAAGGAGATATCAAGCTAAGCCTCGACTACATTCACGATCTTCATATCAGCAACACAAAACAACTTCAGAAGCTAATACCAAGGAGCCAACTCTCTATAGCATCCGATATTACTATAGGACTCGTCATCATTGCAGTCATCATCATTTGGGTCATCAAGAAAAACATCAGCAAGGTTGTGAGAAAACGCACTCCAACAGTGGTTCCTACTATAGAGATTCCGCAAATTTCAGTCATAGAAGCACCAAAATTCCAGCTTGATCTACGGGACGCAGATCTTTGAAGGGGGAGGAGTTATCACCGTCTTTAGTTACATATTCAAGTGGTATCAAATTACATCTTCAGTACGATACTAATTTCTGTTCACATGAAAATTGCTGACACAGCGTCTGCAATCGAACATGTTTAAACATGAAGAAATTACGAAATTATCGTTCCCATCAAAAATGCTGACGAAACGTCTATAATTTTGCACGAGGCCGGAAATGAACTTAATTTTAATTACTATAAATACTGTTAGATTTTAAGATATGATTTAGTCTAAAATTGGTGTTAATAAGAATAGAATATTATAATTAAACTATCAATTCGAATTTAAGTAATTGTAAAATTTAATTTTTAATAGTTGTGACATTGTGTGAAATAAAATTATTTTTTTATAATCGAATCAAGATAGTTTAATAACTTTAATAATAATGTTTTATAAATTTCACAGAAGTATAAATAAATAAATACATTGGTTGACTTATTCTGTTGCCTTAGATCGTTTCGTTATTGGCAGATTTAATTTAAAATATTTTGAAGCTGCATCTAAAAATAATTTCGATTTTTTATGAAAAATTGTTAAATTTTAATCAAATTTTTCTTTAATTTTATTTATGGAAATTCTAAAATAAATTAACCTAAAATTTAGACTAATTCACTTTTAAATTTCATATACATATGAAATAAAGCTATGCACAAATTTTACTTTTATAGTATTTTATAGTATGATGAAGTTGAAATAAAATTTGATAAACAAAAATATCAACGTTTTAAAAAAATTGATTATCTAGGTGTAATTTTAGATAATAAGCTAGAATTCGAAAATTATCTTCAATATATTAGTAAAAAAAATTGCAAAAAAAAAAATTTATTTTTTTTTTTCGGAAATTAGTTTAAGATTTTTCATGGGATATGCAATAAAATATACAAACACCGTGATAAAACCGTGATCATTTTGATTTTTTTTTTTATACTACTTCGCTACTAGGAGGAGCATAGGGGTAGCGCATGATCACGGTAAATAATCATAAACTAGTTTCTGACGTCATTGAGTTTACCAGGTAGATGACGAGCCTACCGTAGTTTTTAATTTTTATTTTGAATATTGTTCATCGATTTTGTTTTTGTTCAATAGTTCCTCGTGTTAATCGTTATATAATTGTCAATTTTATTTTAGAGTATCTTCAGTGGCTCTCAGTAGATCAACGTCTTATAGTCAACGTGCTGGTTGTCGTCTTTAAATTAAAACATAATCCAGTTGAACCCACAATATGGTTTCAACTGGATCAAAATTTTTGCTTTTTTGTTAGAAATGTAAAATATATAAAATTAGGTTAGATTTTAGGATTTAATTTTATCTGCAAAAAAGTCAAACATTTCCGTTATTTTTTTTTGATTTTAGAATTAAATTTTAGAATAGAAAATTTAATAAGTTCAGAATTAAAATTTTAAATTGTATAAAAAATATTGTAATTAAAATATCCACTATTATCTATTATCTACTAAATTAAGTACCTAAACCGAACTAATATATATATATATACATATATATAATAGAGAGAGAGAGAGAGAGAGCATAGCGATATCTTTAAAATGAAATCATATAAAAAAAAATTTTTTTTTTTGCATCACTGTGCAATCGGAAATAGTTGACAAATTAAACTATAATTTTCTAAATCCAATAAAAATTAAATATATATGTATACATACATATATACTTTTAACGAAATCTGTAGATTGTAATTAATTAACAATTATTATTATAATTTAAAATGTAATAAAATTACATTTATTCGGTTTTTTCATTCGATTCCTGTTTTTTTTTTGTTTTCTTGTTTTTGTGTGTTTTTCTTTTGGTTCCGACTTAATTTATGATTGATAAATATTTTTCTTGCTTGACTAGGTTTGCAATCAGATAATAATTTTCATTTTCTTACTTTTCTATTTCATCTTCACTTAATTTTTATTCTCTATTTCCTGTCATACGCGATAAAAATAAAAAAAAAAAATACTCTCTCCTTATGCTTTGGGTTTTTTGTTTTTCATTCAGTTCAGTTTTGTGTTTTAATTGCCATGCCATTAAAGTTCATTCTTTCTCTATACCACATTGCTTGTTTTATAATTTTTGTCTTTTTCTCTATATTAAAAACTAATTTCCGTTTTCATCTACATAAATTAATCTTAAGCGAAATAGAAAATAAGAAAACAGAAAATAAGAAAAAAAAAATTTGATGTTTTTTTTTTCTTGCATGTTTTCATCTTCTTATTTTCTATTTTAACTTTGATTTTCATTCATTAATTTTTTAATAATTTATATATATGTGTATATAATGTATGTATGTATATATATATAAGAAGTTTTAACTGGATGTACTTTTTTTTCTATAAATAAAATTTGTGTTCGCGAATTAGCAACGCAACGTTTGTTTTTCTGGTTTTTTTTTGTGTTTTAAGTTGTAATTTCTTATCAAAAATATTTTAAATTTTCTTTTTTTTTTTTTAAATCTAAAAATCCAGTTTGAAATCAAGTTTTTCTTTTAAATCCTTTTTTTCTATGATTGCTTTTAATTTTACTTGATTTTTTGTTTATTTTTACTTATTTTTTTTACTTTATTCATCTCTAATTCACTCCCTTTTCTTTTAACTTTAATCGTCATTTCATCTATATGCATATATATATACATATATACATATATTGTATAACTGCCTGTTGTACTCATGTATGAATGTATATAACAGCTTGTTGCATTTGCTTTGCAATTTAAAAATAAATTTTTAAATATAAACACATTACCTGTCTTTTTCTTTTATTTTTGCTGTTATTCAACTTCTGTCTAAAAATTTTTTCGTGAAACACCTGTTCTTTTAATAACAAAAAACAACACAAAACAAGAAAAAAACAAGTCATCTTACGAGATATTAAAGTGATTTGCACAAAAAAAAAACAAAAAGATTACAAAGAGAAAACAACGCGAAACAAACAGGAAAATAAAAAAAACAAAAAACAGAAAAAATTTTCAAATCAGTAACAAAAATCAAGACAACTTTGTTACAACCATGCAAAAAGAACGCACAAAAATAACAAAATTCAAAGCAAATATAGAAAAAATTAAAATGCGCTACTATAAAAAAAAAAAATTTTTTTTTTTGTACTGAAAGAAGTAGAAGCACCGAAAGAAACAACGCTTTTTTTTTTTGGTCTTGCTCTGTAACAAAAAAAAAAAAGTTTTGTTGCGAAAACAGGTTAAAAACAATAAAAAACAAGAAACGCAAATAAAATCCAAGAATAAACGGCATAATAAAGTTAAAAAAAAAATTTATGTATAACTAATTTTTTTTTGCCCCCCCCTTTACTCTTGTTTACGATACAATTCTATATGAAAAGTAATAGGTGCACTAAAAGTTTAGTATCGTGGATTTTTTACGCGCCAGATCATCCTAGTTCACAAATAAATCTTAAAAAAAAAACAAAAGAAGAAAAAAAAAAATTTATGATTTTCTTTTACCTTGAAAATATGCTGTGATTTTCATTATAAAATTATCGTACCTTTTACAAGTACTAACATATTATGTATGTATGTATGTGAGTATATCTAAATATATATGCATGGAAAGAACATTTTTCACGGAAAATTTTTAAGTAAATTTGCAAATGTGCTGCAACAAAAATTGCATACATAGACGTAAAAGATAAAAACTTATAATGAAATCACAAACGGAGTTAAGAGAATTAAAATGACGGTTAAAAACTCATTTTGTACATATGTATATATATATATATACATGAACGTAAGTATATTAATTTAAGTTGATTGACCAACAACTGGTTTTTCGATTTGATTAGGTTTAATGTTTATTTTTCTTTCTTTGCTTTTCTGTTATACTAATTTTATTATTTGGTTTTTTTTTTTTTTGTTAAATTTTAAAATCTTGCATATGTACAATAGTATACTAGTTATATATACTAAGTATTATAAAAAAAAGTCGCAAAAAATAAACTCTTATACACAAACATACCGACTCTTATACGAAATATTATTGAATGAAATCATTTCCAACATCTATAAAACAATAATTGTTATATACTATGGGATGGATACGATGGCAGTATATTTTCTTGCATATTTTTTTTAATCTTAAAATTTTAGAGAATATAAAAAGAAATAAAGAAAATAAAAAAAAATAAACAACTGCTTCAAAATGGTGAATGAAATCTTCAATGATTTTGTAAATTTGTAATTTTCATTCATAGAAATTTTTAAAACCTATAACATTAAAATATTTTTCTTATATAAAACAAATAGATATAAGTACTTATATACTTATTATGTGTATAATATTTTGTTTCTTGAATTATTTGAAAAATTTTTCTTAGATCTATTATAAATAATATAAGTTATATATGGGGTTATAGGTATGTACTATAATTTATTATCTATTCAAGTACATGCTTCTATTACGAGCATTAGCGGTATTGTAGTTTTCATTTTCTTTATAACATTTTAATGTTCTAATACAATTTCTAGTAAAAGTGAAGAATTTATTAACCGGTGGGTGAAAATATTTGAAATAATACCTCATTTAACCTTGATATAATAATAATATAGAATATGTACATAAATAGGTATTGTATGAGCATATTAGTAAAATAGTGTAAATTAAATTGATTGATATGCAAATTATAATTATGTTGAATTTACTTCTTTAAAAGAAGATAATTGTTGTTTTATTAACCCGAATAATAAGGCTCCTAATTGTATGCAATGCGGTCGGTAAGAATTAGTTTACTGGATCAAATTTGATAATATATTTAAAATATTTCAGTGAATTTAATGCAGCGCAACGTAGAAAAAAAATTAGGTATATGCAGATCTATACTGACAAAGAATGAGGCGAGAAATAAGGTAGATCCATGCTGAAATAAAGCATTAGTCTAATTAACTATAATCACATTAAACGCAGTTTGTTTTCTATTTAAATAAAATAATCGTCGATTA